GGATGAGTTCTCCACTTTCTGCAATTTTTTAAAATAAAAATTGAAACAAAACACAGAAATTGAGACTTTATTTGGCCAGTTATTTTCCTGTTTGCCCTAAAACTGGTATATTCAAACAACTCCAATTCACTTTTACTTACATTCTCACTCTGCCGGGCCTCTTGCATTACAAATTCTTGGACCATGGCTGGACTAAATTCTACTAGGTAAGACAATACATCTGTAGCAGCAGACCTAACTTGCAGATCATCCATTCCCTCGTTAAAAAAAAAAAAAAAATTGCTATTTATTATCATGTGAAGCTGCAAAGAAGAGACAGTTTCAAGTGTGGAGAACATTTTGTTACAAAAATTTTAATGAGGAACTCAATAATATGTCTACAGAAAAAAACAACAAGGAATGAGGTAAATTTTTCCCTACTATTTTTTTCCTTTAGAAAGGACACAAGGCCTTCTGTGAATTTGAGAACCCTAACTTAGGCTGGAAACATTCACAACATCCTACTTGCTTGAATATCTAATACTTTATTGATATTCTATATCTGGTATCCACAATTTATTTATTTTGTACAAAAGGACCAAGGTGTATGACAGTTTCATGCCCATTTACAGGCAGCATGAATTCAGAACTTTTCCTMAGGGATGTGATTTTCTCTGATTAAAAACTGCCACATCAAAAAGTCTCTTTCACCTTGTCACTACCTTGTTACRAGGATTTCACTGCCCTCAGATTTCTCCATTATGAAAAGTAAAATTAGTAAGAGCAGAAAAGAAGTCAGGCTACTCCAGAGTAGAACTGTGGGCAGCTTCAGGATTCTGAACATTACAAGAAACTTCCACTCTCAGCAGAGCAAAGCTCTCCAATCAGACTTACACAAAGGTTCTCAGCAGATTAAAAAATAAAATAAAATAAAATAAAAAGGTTATATGGCTGTGGACTTTTTTAGTTTTATTAAAATCAGTTCTAAGTTTTCACTTACCATCAACATTTCAAGAGTTGGAAGAATTCCCAACTTTGCCAAAGTTTGGAGAAATTCATCTCTTTTCTCAGGTAAGGTCAAAGAAAAGGCACAGAATTCCTTTAAAAACTTCATCTGGTGCATAGGGGAAAAAAATTGTGTGTATTTGAGTTAGAAAACTCTCTGCAAGGAGGAAACAGTTACTGTTTGTACCAGGGGGTGTACTGGCTGATTCTCCTGAAGAACTTCCAAGACCACAGAACTCACAGAACAGTTTCAGTTTCAACTTCACCCCTCTCTTTTAAAGCYTTTGAGGAACCACCAAGACTACTGACTTACCAATTCACATCGTTGCTCACCAGCTGTAGCTTCATTTGTTAATTGTGCAAAAACCTCAGGCAAAAATTCCTCATCTTTCTGTGGAGCACACAAAAAGAACACACACAGTGCTTCTGCAAAGTGAAAACATGATCTTTCTGGGATCCCACACTGCACAAAGCCAAACTTTGCACACTGCCATTATTTTTTTATCAGAAAGAAGGCAAATTCTAGAGCATACATCCAGCAGGATCATTTCCAGTCTTTCAGCACTCCTTCTGTGCAGCAGAAAAAGCTCCAGAACACCAGAGACACAGTGAAGCTGGACACAGGGGATGATCCCTAAACCTGATCCCGAAATTTCCTTTCCTTCTCTGCTTTGCAGCTCTGCCCAACCCCRTGGACTCCCTGTGTGATTTCCCACACCCACACACACATGAAAAGGACTCAAAAGGACAGTCTTTATTTGTTCCAGACTCTCTCACTGCACTTTGTACATAAACTTCTAGGGAAGCAACTGGTACACTTTTGACCTAAAAAGTGCCAACCAAAAGAAAACTGTGACCCTGCTGTACCTGCACCATTCATACTACACTGTGAACATTTCCTAAGGATCAGTTTCCTTCTTTTGGAYCTGAAGCACAGCAAAGCATCTTTTCAGTCCACCTCTACAAGGGGGACTAGATAAACAGGTTACAAGTTGGCTGCAGCCACATTCTCCTGAATCTTACAATAAAATCAGCTCTCCCACATGCAGGAACTCTGCTTTGCCAAGATTGGAAACTTTTGTGACTATCAGACCTTTCTCTGTACCCCTTCACATGGAAAACAGTGAAATAAATATCCCAGATACAAAATACCACAAGTTGTTTGTTCCCTAAATAATTAGACAAAACAAGCTCCAAAGGTTTTCTTGGCAATCAAAGAGAAGGATTTTATCGCATAAAATTTTATCCCATAAAATTACTAAGATACCTTAAATTTATCATTTCGAAAATACAAAATCCAAGGGATCAGAAATAAGGGAATGCATTCAAAACATTGTGCAAATGAAAGTGCCTGTGATTAACTTACACAGTGTTCACCAGCTGTAAACCATTTCCAAACTACAGCCAGAGGGATCTCTATAGATGCCATCTAAGCCACATTAAAAAACACTTACCAGCAACCCATGTAAAATCTCCTCTTTGCTGGAGCTGATGAAGGAAGTGAGGGTAGAAAGAAAACCCTCTTCAAAATCAGATGGATTAGGCAAGATGATGGCCTGAATGTACTGTGCTCTGGATGTGTGGCGGATTTTTTGCCTAAGTTCAGGGTCTCTTATAGGAATAACTTCCTGAAGCTTTGCTGTTTTGGTCAAGAATTCCCTGTGCCATCCTGGCTGAGCTAAACAAGGATCATACTCAAGGCATCCAACAACACCCAGAATACACTCATCCGAAAACATCACCTCAAACAGAATGGMTTTGTCCAGGTACAAAATTCCTCTCATAATGTCAAAGAGAAGRTGCAATCCTTCGGTGTTTTTTACATTCTCACAGACTTGGAAAAGCTGCAGCAGCTTTGGAATATAGCCTTCATTCTTCAAGGCCAGTGCCAGCTTTTCCTTACGGACACGTGAGAGGCGAACAGAGGTCACCAGATCTGCAATCTCCCCGAGTTTGTGGAGTTCACAGCTAGGAAGGTCCATCAAACGACTAATTCTACCCATTTCTTTAGGTATTCTTCTGCTGGATATATGTGAGTGACTTCCACAGAATGACACCAACACCCAAAGAGAGCAAGAGGGAAGCAAGACAAGAGCCCACTCTGCACTGCCCTCCTGCTCTTCTGCCCCTCCAAGTGCCCCAAGTGTTCTTCAGTCATTGTGATGTCTCCTGGCTCAGAGCCTTCTGATTGGTCCATCCCTCCAACTCCCAGAMTCCAGAATGCTGGGCTCATGACCAGCAAAGTTCACAGCAAATGGCCAACGGATGTTTTTTGCTGTTGATCTTTTAGAACCTCTAGAACCCCTTTCAGTAACTGCTGGGGGCCCATAGGAAGGCTGTAGAAAGCCTCTTCCCAAGGAGAGGCAGGAAGAGGGGGAATGGCCTTAAGTTATTTTTATTAGATATTAGGAAGAAATGCTGGACTATAAGAGGGGTGAAGCATATAGGGAGGCATCAGTGCCCATGAACAATCCCACCAACCCATCAGGGACGGAAAGCCTTTTGAAATCAGATGGTAATGAACAGGTCCAGCRTTTCACAGCTGTGTCCCAGCTTCTTCTACTCATGGAAAACTGCATCTGAAATAGGCATGGAATGAGTCACAGGGAAAAAAATGCAGAAAGTTTTGTGGAGTCCTTTGGGAAAAAGAAAATACCATGAGCAGGCACAATTTGTGATACTTTTGCCGGTCAGAATCTTTTTAATAGAGAGATTTTATTGGAAGATGTTGATTTACTTTTAGCAAAATAATCATGGTAGAAGTTAGTTTTGAGGAATTTCTTATTTAACTTTAACCTATGAAGCTTCTCTTCATAGTTCTGGTACTCTGCTTTCTTTTGCCTTTGAAAAAGCTTTTTTTCAAAACAGAGAAAGCATTGTATATGAGAGAGATTAGAATTTAAATGTTTCAAGCCTAATCATATATTTTTAATTTTTATTTTATGAAAGTGCTCAGCTATGGATTTTGCACCTCAGTTAAAACATCATAAGACCAAGAAAAATGTTTCTACCTACTCTATTAAAAATGTGCAARAATACTTTGTGGCATATGAATTGAAGGGTATTTGGTCTCCAAAGAACCAGCGATCTGTCTTTCCATTTGCGTGGTGGAAAAAAGTGATGAAAGCATTTCATGAAAAACATCAACTTGAAATGGAAAAGAAAGGACCCATTTTGCTTTGCCAGCACTCAGCTCTTAAAACACTGTTTAAGCCCATATCACCACAACCCAGAGTGGAGATGCAGAGAGACAAGTGTTCCTGGGTTATATGGCTTTTATGTAGCTCCAGGAATTTAGAGTCTCTGCAATTCATGGAAATTTTGAGAAGCTACTGGGTTGGCAGTGGTCCCTAGGAAATGCTAAGTGTAGGGATGCATCAGAAAACATCTCCCTTTCTCAAGGAGAGCTTTGGTGCCTGATCCCAGTTTCCTCACCCCTAGAGAATTTGGAACCCCAAACCTTACCCTGAGAGAAACAAAAACCTGAGTTAGGATTTTGAGCAGTCCTGGCATTTTCCACTCTGGCAAAGAGCTTTCAGTTAYGCTGATGAAAAAAGATGCACTTCACCCAAGCAGAGGTCGCAATTTAAAAGGTACTTCAACAGCCAGCAGTCTAAGTACATTTTCTGATCCTTCCATCCCCATGTACCTGTTCACTGTAAAGGCACAGTCTGTTCTGTCCCATAGCATGGTGATCTTGTCTTCCTGCTCCATCCACCAGACTTTAACACATAATCAGAAAAATTAAAAGATGCAAGTGCTTCTTTGGAGCCCATTCACCAGTTCTTGCATGTGCTAACAGTTGTGAACTGTTCATTGGCAGAAACCAGGAGTAATATTTCCCCAGTGCTTCCATTACAAAAACCACACAGAAATATTCCAGTGTTAGAATCCAAGGTCAGCTTCAGCTGAGCAGAGCATATTCTGTCTATTCAGAGGATTAATATTAATGCTATTCTTTCCATGATCCTCTGCATCCAGGTATCAAGAAGGGCTGCTATTTTTTCTACTTAGAGTGGAGAAGTAAAAAATACMAACTCTGAATATCCACAGTATTTTGGCATATTATAGGAAACACATGAAAGGGTTTTTTACATCTAGTAAGTAAATAATCTTTGTGTGCTTATAAGTCAGAAATATATATTTACAAATGAAAATATTTTAAATTGTGTTTTAAAAACAAAATTGGTGAATTTTTTAAAGGGAAAGAAATGCAGGGTGATGGAATGCACTGTTGTTTCCACACTGTCAAATGGATTGCTTCCCCAGCAATGCTCAAGAGTTTTTGCTGCATGAGAAAATCAGTAAAAAGAATACAGCAGTTGCATTTATTTGATGAAGAGAGATTAAGGACATTATGCAGGAGATAAGAAGATGTACAGCCCTTATTAAAAGAGTTCCAAATGCCCTGAGATCTGGGTGAATTTGCAGGCTGGACTGAGGGCAAAATGGAGCTGACTAACCCTTGCCAACCCTGCTAGATATCCATCATGGAAACACAAGAGATGGTCAGGAGTCTTTGCTGTTAAAGCAAAGGAGTTTGAAGGGGTTTCCTTTGTTCTAGGCCCTCTTAAYATGGTTAACAAAAGGAGGATTGCAGAGGTTAGATGTACCACCCTGAGGAATTGAGGAAGGCAGAAAAGAGCCCCTAAACTGCCTTCAACATCTATTATCATTACCATAATTTCATTAGGTATTTTTACATGTTATCATCAGCTGTAGTACTGTAGTTGTATTATTATCACAATCTTTCTTACCCAGAAAAAAAGATATTCCAGAAACCTCCACATTCTTGTCTCAAAAAATCCCTTACAGTCCCTTCTTTATAGTCATTGGGATCTGAGCCCTGTATAAATTCTAGCTMCAAGCATTTCTACACTGAATCCTATTGATTAAATACGTTGATCTAAAGTTCCAACCTCTGCATTTTTCCAAAATTACAACAAAACAGGGTTGTCAGAAAAAGACACAGGAAGCAAACGTTGGGGTGGGTGCCCATTCAGGTGCACTCAGGCAGAAAACCCTCTCCCTCCAGTCTACCAAAATTTCAAGCACAAAAATCAGTAGCAAGGCTGGGTAAGACTAGTAAAGACCATTATTTTGTATTAAGCCACAGTACAATCAAGTTTATTTTCTTACAAAAGAGAGAACATGTCAAGATCCTGAACTGGCACAGAAAAAATGGGTGRAAGTTAAAGGATGGAAAGAGGAAGGAAAGTTAAGGAATGTGCACATTTCCAGAAAACTGTAGTTATCAATTTTGCCTCCAGCCTCAATGGCAGTGGTTAAAACCTTTTCCTGGGAAAGAGGTTAGAATTAAAAAAAATAAATTAATTCCATTGTTCATTCTTAGAGCAGCACTGTGTGTTACAGTCAAATGGCAGAAGAGCCTCTGGGTATTAACCAGCTTGAGAGGTGGTATTTTTGGACAGCCTTCCCAGAAGTCCTAAAGCTTTAATTAAATTGCTGTTTTCAGTCATTTGATTTTAAAGACTAACCTCTGTTCTGGGAATGTTGTTTAGCAGCCCTAGTATACCAGAACAGTATGCTTTATATAATTAAACCAATCTTACAGCCAATTCCAGACTGGCTGTGCAGCACAGAGACTGGGCAATCCAYACCTTATTCAAAAACTGCTTTTGCTTAGACTGTACTTGGTGGATGAAATGATTTGAGCCAGAGTAGAGACAGAAATCTGTAAAATGCATCCTTTCCTGACCATCTGGACCTTCTCAGCTCCCACCAAGGTAGCCCTGGGTCCAAGTGCTACATGGAAAATATCATTCCCTCATTTGAGATGAGGGTGATTCACTAAAAACCAGACCCAAAGGAAAGAATAGGCAAGTGAGATAGCCTGGTGCTTCTGTGCCTCCTGCACAGCACAGCTGGAATGAACCAAAAAAACTGCTTTGAAATGAGCTAGAAGTACCTCTACATAGACACTAACAAGGAATTTGGTCCTTTTGACTCAAACACATTTTACTTTATTTCCTTATTTCTCAAATTCAGAGACACCATTTAAATCAAATACTACACTTCAAATCATATCCCTTCTTRAGACTAAATAAACTAAATCCCTGGCTGTAATTTACTTTCCAATTCRTTTGAAGGTACTGCAGTCCTCATTATTCAAACATAATCACAAGAGGGAAATCTAATTTTCTTCATGYAATTATATTTCAAATGCTTCACTTTCAGATCATTAAATCTGTGGTATCTTCCTCCCACTTTCCAAGAGGGTACCCTCTTATACTGCTGCTTTTCAATAGCTGTTGCCTGTGTGACTAATCTTCCCAGCTARGGAACCACTAATACTGCAAATATCATTATATTGACATTAATGGAAAACACAGCAAGGTGTCCAAACAATTGAAATTATTTCTTCCAAACTGTAATCTGTTGAATTTATTGACCATTAACTTGAAATGGCACTTGGTCTTGTGCTGCTTGCTCATTGCTCCCAAGAAAGACCATCCCAGTTAAAACTTCTTTCCCTATAAAATCTTGTCAGAGGATTAATTTTTTTTTATTATTTCTCTTCCACCATTCTGCTGCTCCTTTTTCCTCTCTCTTAGTATTCTTGAAAAATGAATTAATAATGAGATCATTCCCTCAAGGAAAGGTCTGATTGGTGGTGAATGGACAGTAATAGTGCAGAAATCTGATGCCTGTTATTGCCCTAACCCAGGAAAACTGCAAAAGTCACCTGACTTCTTCCATAAAATGAGGAAAAGTATTCTACTTGAACAGGGATCTTCTGGGAATACCCCCAAAGAAAGTTTCAGCTCCAGAAAATGAACTTTTTTAAAAAGCAATTTTTGAGAAGTAAACACCCAAAACATGACCATGGATAGAGATCAAGATGATTAGGATTATCAGGATCAAAACATCAATACTTGGGTTTATTTTGCCAGAGAGTTGTGATGTTCTTGTCYTGAGCATTCATGGGTATCTTCCACCGTGGTGCTGATTGAGGACAACT